CGCTGTTGGATTCTGACAAGCGTTAGCGGCTTTGCGCACCCCAACAAATGCCAACATTTCGGGGGGCGCGGTGGCGGACACGGCTGCCGGCGACCGTCGCGCGCACTGAGACCCCTGCCACACCCAAGGTTGTTATTGGTCAAAAACCTGGTTATTTGTTGTTTGGACCAGGGGGTGTGGCGTGGAATGCCAGAGTTCGGGTCCGACCGTGTCATCCACTTGCGCCCTTGCCCGACACCCGGTCTTCTTAAACCTGTGTTGACAACGGGTCCAGGTGTGGAATGGGGGAGTGTGGAAGAGGCTGTGCAAGTCTACTATCACTATAAACTAAATTTTCGCACAAGTCGCCGTCCCTGCTCCCACTCTGCTGCGGAGCATACGGTGGACATCGTGCGAATCGACGGTTACACTGTCATGTGTGTGGGTGTCGTGCTCCCTAAACGGGCCACGTGGTAGATGCGCTGGACCAACAGGGGGGGGGCACGTCGGATTCTGGCAGGCGTTATCTTGCGCAATAACAAATGCCAATATTTAGAGGGTGCGGTGGCAGACCCTGTTGTCGACAGACGTCACGCACACCGGGACCACTCCCATCCCCATTGTTTGGTCGGTAAAAAGCCTGGTCATTTGTTGTGTGGAGCAGGGGGTGCGGATCCGTCCAAGCCATCCACCTGCAGCCTCCCCCCTGCCGGTATTCTTGATTCTGTATTGGCACCAGGCTCAGGCGGGGGAGGAGGAGAGAGTGTAGGAAGATGCAGTGTCAGTCTAATGGCACTTTAAACCCCTGCGCAAGTCACCGTCCCTGCACTCAACCTGCTGTGGAGCATACGGGGGACATAATCGAAACCGACGGTCGGAATCCTGTGTGTATGAGTGTGTGTGGCCGCCATCTCTCCAGGAAACCATTAGGGCCGTGCAGCAGCTCTCCAGCGGGAAAGCACCCGGATCGGACGCAATCCCTGCTGAGGCCTACAAACACCGAGGTTCCCAACTCATGGATCACCTGACTGCGCTCTTCCAGGAGATGTGGCGTCAAGGTGAAGTCCCTCAAGATTTCAAAGACGCAACCATCGTGCACCTAAACAAGCGAACAGGGAATTGCCTAGTCTGCGACAATCACCGCGGCATCTCCCTGCTGAACATCGCCGGGAAGATCTTCGCACGAATCCTCCTCAACCGCCTCAATAACCATCTGGAACAGGGCCTTCTGCCTGAAAGCCAATGCGGCTTCCGTCGTCATCGTGGGACCACGGATATGATCTTCGCCGCCCTTCAACTTCAGGAGAAGTGCCAGGAGATGCGGACTCACCTGTACTCTACTTTCGTGGACCTGACGAAAGCCTTCGACACGGTGAATCGTGAAGGACTGTGGAAGATCATGCAGAAATTCGGCTGTCCGGAGCGATTCAGATGGTGCGTCAGCTGCACGACGGTAATGATGGCGCGAGTCACGGACAACCGAGCTGTCTCAGAGGCAATCGCAGTGACCAACGGAGTGAGGCAGGGATGAGAGCTGGCACCAACCCTCTTCAGTCTTATGTTCTCTGCCATGCTGATGGACGCCTACCGCGACGATCGTCCCGGGATCCGCATCACCTACAGGACGGACGGTCACCTCCTGAATCAACAATGGATGAACTTCCAATCGCGCGTATCCACAACCATCGTTCGCGAAATCCTTTTCGCCGACGACTGCGCCCTGAACAACACCTCGGAGGAGGAGATGCAACGGAGCACGGACCTATTCTCCGCCGCCTGCGAGAACTTTGTTCTGGTCATTAACACGCAGAAGACGGTGGTGATGCACCAACCGCCCCCAACTAAGCCACAGCCCCCAACGCGTCGCCGCAAATCAGCGTGAACGGAACCCAACTGCAAGTGGTGGAGAACTTCCCGTACGTGGGTAGTATTCTCTCCCGCAATACCAAGATCGATGATGAAGTCGCCAACAGGATCTCGAAAGCCAGTCAAGCCTTCGGTCGCCTCCAAAGCACAGTTTGGAAACGCCAAGGTCTTCAGCTGAGCACGAAGCTGAAGATGTTAAAAGCGGTCGTTCTGCCGACGCTACTGTATGGCGCGGAGACCTGGACGGTGTACACAAATCAGGCACGCCGTCTGAACCACTTCCACCGTAGTTGGCTTCGTCGCATCCTGAGGCTGATCTGGCAGGATCGCAACCCCCGACACTGATGTGCTGGAACGGACAGGAATCGTCAGCATCAACACTATGATAAGACAAATTCAGCTGCACTGGAGCAGCCACCTGGTGCGCATGGACGACGAGCGACTACCCAAACGACTCTTCTACGGAGACGTCGCGACGGGTTCTCGCCGTCAAGGAGGCCAAAGTCGCCGTTACAAGGATACCCTGAAATCCTCTTTGAAATACCTGCAAATCAACCCCACGACCACGACCATGACCACCACCACCACCACCACCA